GCGACTGCAACCTAAGTAGGTAATAAAATTTTTTACTAATTAAATTTAGCAAAATTGAACGTGTAATCACTTCGTATATTCTTATACTTAATTATAATTTTCCCTTTTACTTAATTATATAATAGTAAGGGAATATTATGTTTCCATTCAAGTAAAAGTACAAAATTATGTAAGTATTACAAATAATTAACTATTAAAGTAAAATCTTAATATTGAAAATGTCTACTTACTCATACTTATATTTGACATACATTTGAACATAACTACTTATTTCTTATAATTATAATTATATTTTATATTCAACTTTTGCATTAATTTTCCTAAGTGTTAAGTAATTATTCAAAATTTAGTTAAATAACAATTTCATTATTATTTTTGTTACGAATAATGGAAAATTAATTAAGTATTTTACATTATACATATATAAAGGACTTACATAATTAATTGCATAACTATATTTTATAGTTACTTATAAAGAAAGAAAATTCATACTTATTATAAAATCAGTATGTGAATTGACGTCAATCGTATAGTCGATAATTAGTACAGTAGTAAGTATTTATTACATTTATTTTTCACCATAAAAAAAAATATTATATTGGTGTTAATTTAATTTTCACCATTTTCAATAAAAATCAATTTTCTAATTTTATTCTGTTAATTTTGTTTTTGAATCTAAAATGAAACAATAGAGAATATTTTCAAGTGTACAAAAATATGAATACAAGGTGTTACTCTGTCGCGTGTTAAATTTCGTTTTCCAAAAACAATTTTTGAGTTTAGTAATAAGAAATAACAGAAATAAAATTGAACAGAAAATATAAAAGATAAACTCCTTTATAATTCTTCAGATTAAAATAATTGCGAAGACATGCTTGAGGAAAGTGAACCAACCATTAAATTCTTGATTTATAAAAATAATTCTAAAAAATATTCCAAAAAATATTTTGTTAAAATATTATATAACAAAGTAAGATTCCACCTTTCTCATTCACTTTTCCTATCACTTAACCTTAAAGATACAATGATTACCAATAAAAAATTATTGTGTATCCTTGACAATTTATTTTAATTATATAGATCGTTAATTTTACTTAAGTTCTTACACATCTGTATTATTTCAAAATTACGTCAATCTTTTAGGTTTTATACACAGAAACAAGTGTACAATAACGTCTTAATTATAAAATGAGTAAATTCAATTCTATATTTGGAGCTGCCAATTACCTCCAATCAGAAAATCTCTGATTCGTATCTCTAAATAAATTATAATTTTATATATAGCGTATAATTTAAACCGAGTTCATAATTTTGTCATATTTGTTTCAGTCAAATCCAAATTTTTATATTAAACATATGAAATTCTGTAAATTTGAGAAATGTTTCTAATGTTTTCAAACAAAATTTTGAGTTCAATTTCAGTAAGTAACTAATAAACTAACTAGTAAATTAAGATTTAATATTTCAATTCGACTTGAATTTTAAATTACTTAAATGTTGTTTGTAAAAAAATATATGTACCTATATACATTTCTATTTTAAACCTAAAAGAAGATTGAGTAATAAACTATAATAAATCATATAAAATAAAATTTTCTTAAAATTAGGCTAATTTTGATCTTATTTTATACACATTTTTTTAACAATATACTAACAAGAAGAATAAGATACTAAAAACTGTGTGTGAATGTATGTTATACTTAATTCTTTTTTATATTATTTAATTTTAGATATATTCACTTTAATATACATTAATGCACATAACTAAACTATAATCAAGTGTAAGTATAACGCTTATGCAATACTTAATGTATGTGCTTAAATAAATATGTAAATTAGTAAGAACCCATATATCTATACATACGAGTACATGTATAATTCTTCATTCTGTATAATTTTCACGAAAATAATTCAAATTTTAAGTTATGTCGGCCGAACACTGTCACATGTAGCGAAAAAAAAATTTTTATATGTATATATATATTATTTCAGTATTTATTCTGTACATATAAGTAAACTTAGTCATAAATAATAATTTTATGAATGAAAATATTCCAACTGACTTCACAATGAATTTAATAAAAATAAATAAATGGCCATAAAAATTATTATTACTGTGAATTGATCTAAATAAAATAAGTAATATACTTGAGCTGAAATAATTTTTTAAAAAAATAAATAAAAAAAACAAAAAAATTTTTCATTAAGTAAATTCTTTAATTTTTGGGCTGTTATATGGTTAGGTTATTTCCGCGATATAGAAGAAAACAAAACAAAAAAAAATTAATAACTAAAAACAAAAATAATAAAAAAAAATAATTTGCATTTTTATGCTTAAATTTCAATGTTAAAATATTAAAAAGAAGACAAAAAAAAATTAAATAAATAAAATCGTATATGTATTAAGTATGTTTATATAGCAGCCACAAGTGTATACTTAAATAGTACATTAGTATAAACAGTAAGTATATTATTATAATATTATTCGTTTGCTGCAACACTGACATAAATCAAAAATTTGCAAATTTGAGAAAATTGAATTTTATAATTTTAAATAACTTAATTTGGTTTTTCATACGGCATTATTTTATAACTAACTACTTATAAGGGACAATTTTCAGGCTAGACAATTCACATTTTGGCTTAAAAATTAAATGTTTTAAGTGCTTCTTTCTGTATAAATAACTCAGAAACCGTATTTTTTTTTAGTTACGTCACAGACAAATGAATAACATATACATAACATTTCAATAACAAAACTATAAAATTTAAAGTAAAACATTTTAGGTGTGTGGTGCTTAAGGTAATTTATCAAAATAAGAAATTTAAAATTTTGTAAGTAGAAAAATTGTGAGTTAAAATGAAATTTCTGTTCGAGAAATTGAATACTTTAATATATACTTAATTACAACACCAGAGATAGAACAATTTTCTTAGCTATCATGTACCTACTTAAAAACATGCCCAGTATTTAAAGAACTAAGTGTTTTATAGCTTTTTTTTTTAATCTCATAATTAACATGAATTGATGATTTTTATTTTGCTTTCAAATTAAAATTTTAAATTATTTCAAAAAAAAATATTTTTAATAAGATCTTGTTTTTTCTAACAAAATCTAAAGAATATTTTTAAATAAATTTGTAAATTGAAATATTTATGACATCATTCATATAATGAAAAAATATTAACATTTTGTTTAAGGTATTTAGTCATTCTTTTTTTAAATTAAAAATTAAATTAAAAATTAAAATAATTAATTATAAGAACTATGTACCTTTCTACCTAACACTAATTACCAAGCTATTCTAAAATAAAAATTTTAAATTTTAAAACTCTAACTAATTTTATTTTCAAGAAGAATTTTATTTATTACATTTAGGAATATTAAAACTAAATAAGCGAATATCTAGCAAATTTTTAATTAACAACATTAATATTATTTAAAAAAATTTAATAGAATAAGAATTTAAATAACTAATAATTAAAAAAATATAATATTGCATGGGATAATTAACGTGTAAAAGATAGGTAATGTGGGTATGTATTCACTCATACAATATGTGGGTATCTGCACACTAAAACACGCAATGCCTTACTCAAATATTTCATAAGCTTAATATTAAAAAATAATTCGTTTCCCCATTAAATTTAATTTTATAACTAATATGATATTATATTTTTCTAATGGTATTAATTAACAAAAAAAAAAAAACTGAAACCTACTTTATTTAATTTTAACTTTATTAAAGATCATACTTAGCGAGCACATTGGAAGCTTATGCATTATATTGACCTATATTATTATAAAATTTAAATTCCTGCGCAGTACACCCAAAAATATAAGAGAAGTAAGATTTAAATAAGAAAATATCACATAAATTATCCTGAATTTATTGTAAGTGCATGAGTAACCAATGTATGGTTTGTAAAATTAACTAAACATTTTGTTCCATTAAGTATTAAGTGATATTTAAGTGCTTTAAGTAGATTGGTAAGTATAATTTGTATTTCCTCTTAAAATTTTTGTATTTTAAGAAAAATTTGATTACAAGCATTGAAAACTCTGATTCATGCATATTACAATTTTTTTAGAAAACATGCAGTAATCAGAATATTTGCTTTTTGTTTTAACAATTCAAATACATATCCTTGGATCTTATGTAAACGACTCTAAAACTGTTGAATAATTTGGTCGAAAATTATATAAATTTTTAAATAAAAAATTCTATTAATTAAATTATAAAAGAAAAAATTGAATTTGAATTTTTTTTTTACTAGTATATGCCCATGTAGTAGGTAGGTGCTTATTGTAACCAAAACGATAAATAAGTATTTAAAACTTAGACGAAAGATCTTAATTTTCTTCGACTCATATTATTATTTTTGAATTAATTTTTACATATTAATATTATATTATATACATATTAATATTAATTTTTAATATTAATTTCAATTAAAATGTTAATATATATAACTGTTGTGTTGAATTATAAATTCAAGCTTTACTATAAGTAGGTATGTAAGTACCTTCCAATATTTTGAATTTGAGTATTAAAGTAATTTATGATTTGAATTATGAATGATTCTGTAAACTAATACAAATTTAATATAACTGTAAAATCGCTAATATATAAAATCCTTACTATTATTGCATATATACATATGTACTTAGTTAGAAAAAGATATTAAAATGAAACAAAATAGATATTTCAATGAAAATGAACAAAATGTAAAATTAAAAATTTAATTTTTTTTTCAATCAAATAAAATTTTATTAAATGCAATAAAATTTAATTTAATATTGGAATTAAATTCATTCTGGGCCCTATTGCATCAACCACTTACATAGAAAATGTAAGAGCAAAAAATTAAAATAAAAATGGTTGGTGCAATAGAAACCTGGCCAAGTTCACTTGAGGTTAAGTTAGAAATAAAGCATAAAAAAAACCTTCTGAATTCAAACTTTATCATACAAAAATTTTCTTAAAATAATTTCTAACCTTTACTGTTATATATGTATTGTTTAATATTTAATATTCCTTTTCGTATTTTAAAAAAATTCGTTTTTTACTTTGATATTTTTAAAGTGTAATTGTATCCAAATTTTGTTTTTGATTCCTTGAATGTAATAATTTTGATTCAAATTTCGTACACACACACAAACACAATTTTAATTAAACAATAATATTTTTTTTATGAATTTCAATTTCAATATTAAATAAAAATTACGAAAAAAAGAAAACAATCTCTCGTTTTTTTAAAATCAAACACTTCAATTTTTGTAAAATTTTAAATTTTTTAAATAATTTTTTTAATAAAATTTTTTCTTTATAAACTTTGTTGTTGAAAATTTTCTAAAATTTAAAATTTTTTTTTACTGAACAATGAAACACATGAAATAGACAGAGAAAACAGCACATAAAAATTTGAATTTTTTTTTTTATTTTTTTTTTTAAATGTAATCCTTTTGGCTTTTGGAACGAAACCGTTTCTTTTTTTTTAATATTTTATTTTTGTGTTTTTCAATTAAATTGAATAATTTTTAAATATTTTTTTTTTCCAAAATTTAATAAATTCATTAAAGAAAACGTTTTTTTTTTTACTGCTTTAATTTTAATATTTTTTTTTCTGTTAACTCATAAAAAAAAACAAAATAAGAAAAGAAATTTTATTTAAAAGAAAAAAAAAATCGATTCAACGATACTAACGCGTGGCATTTAATTCAAAGATCTCAACACGACTAACTGTAAAGTGAAAAAAACAAAACACATTTTACTACAATTTAATTTTTTTCTTCTCATTCGCTCATTTTTTGAAGTATCGAAAAATTGTGTTGTGTTGTGACGTTTTTCTGCTTTTTCGTAAAACAAAAGTGAAAAAATGGAAAAAGAAAAAAACAAAAATTTTCGAATTAAAATTTGTAGAGGAATTGTTGAAAATCGAGTAAACAAAAAAAAAAAATGTTGTTGTTATTGTTTTTAGTAATGAAAAGGAAAAAAATAAAATAAAAAAATAAGAGAGTAAAAATAATTGTGATTCGTAATACAGAAAAGAGAAATCATTTTTAAGAGAAAAATTAAATAAAATTTGATATTTGATTCGTTACTCTTTTTTTTTAGATTGTTGTCTACGTTCGAAAAATTACTCGTGAAGAAAACAAAAGACTGTATTTTTTTTTATAATTTTTTGTAAAAGAATGAATGTAGAAAGGGAGAGCCGGTGTTTCAAATTTCAAATAAATTTTTAGTTTCATTGAATACAAAATTTTAAAAAAATTCTATTGTAATTTTCAGAAATTGATTTTTATAATAAATTTTCACCTCGCATAATTGATTTTGATTAATTCGTTCCGTTTAATTTTATTTTTTATAAAAATAACGAAAAATCATGAAATACAATCTCATTTATCATTCAACGTTCTTAATCTCTTGAAGAAAAGTTTGAGTTTTACTGTTTGGACGATAACTTTCAAGACTATTAACGTAAAAGAAAAAATTGAGTATTATTGCTTGAATGATTCTTTCATTAATATTTTTATTGTTATTTGCAATTAATGTAAGAGATTCCTAGTTTAATAGTTTTATTCACACACAACACAAACTAAACATCATATTTTTCTCTCAAAATTTTGCTTACAGGTACATATTGTGAATTTACATTGTTTAATAGAATTTTCTCAAACAAATTTGTATTACTTGATTTCAATGTTTTTATTTCATGTTCTCGCCTTTTTTTATTTATCTATGTAGCGGAAACTGTCTCTCTAACTTCTTTAAGATTTTTTTAATAATTTAGAATTTTATACGTCATTTTCGTAGAAAATCATACATAATATGCAGGCAGCATAAAAATTTAATTTCTGTTCTACTATTTTGTACATACATATGTATGTTTGCATGTATATGTATGCATGCATAATTATATTATACTGCTAGAATAAAAACAAAGGAAATAAAACGTGAGTTCAAAAACCATTTCCATTTTAACGTCTCCAACTTAGTGTCTACAGAATTTCATGTACAATAAAAATGTTTAACAGCAACAGTATTACAATTTTTGTTATAAATGTGCGTGCATAATAATTATTATTCTTTTTTTTTTCATTTAAATTTTGTGTATATCGCATACAATATTCTACAACGTTGCCATTGTTCTTTTATAAAATATTAAATGAGGGAGTAAAATGATGTTAGTGTGCTCTCGAGCTCGTCTGTAAATATGTAAGTCTGTTTGTATATATATAGGTATATATATTATTAAGCATGTATGTTGTATTATGACTACGTAGTATGTGTGGTATATTAAATTGAGTACAGTATGTATGGGAATAAAGATTTGGGGATTTGGTTGAGCAGTTTTTGTCAATCTTTTGCTATATTCATTTATTAAAATATAAAATTAATAAAATTATACAATCGGATTTTGAATTTATGACAGAAGTCCACGTTATTTAAAATTTATTCGATAATATTGGAAAATATTTAAGATCCTTTTATTGATCATCTCAGTTCGTGTTATTGGCTTCAATACTTTGCAGATATTGTACTGAAACAATTTAAGTATATAATATTACACAATAAAACACAAATTTAAGTAGATACTATAACTATATGCGCATACATACATATATTTAATTGTATTCAATATAGAATATCAAACCAATAGGTATTCATTTTATTAAAGAGCGTATTTTAGTCACGGGGTACGATTTCTTTTAACTTGAACAACGCATGTAACAAAATATTAACAACAATTCATATTTATTGACAACAAAAACTCAAATATAATAAGCAACAGGCATACAAAAAACATATGACTTTTCTCATTCTCTCAATATAATATAAATGAATCAACACAAAATAAGCAGTATATACTCAAGTTTACATAGCTATAGATGAATATACACACAAACGTAAAATCGTATATTTGTTCACCCCAGCTAACGTTTTTTTTTGTAAGACAAAACATATTTTATTTCTCTTTCAACATAACATTCTCATCATTCAACGTAACAACTAACAGCTGTTCTGGTTCAATAATAAATTATGTATTTTAATTTTCGAAAATGAGAAATTATAAAATAAAACTCAAATTGAAATTCAAACGGGTGAGTTTATTAATGAGAAAGTAAAGCATTGCCAAATTTACTTAATTTTTATTACGGAATATTTTTTTTGTTAAGACGGAATGGAATTTTTAAATAATTTTCATTTTTGAATTTTTTTTATTACGACCAATTTTCTTTTGGGTCTTCTGAATTTTATAGTACAATTTATATTATATGAACTCTTATACAACTTTTATTCTCTCTAACATATAGCAACTCATTTAATGGCTAATGTTTTATTACATAAAGCACATTTGCGTGAATAATAACGTGAGTAAAAAATTAGAGTTGCAGACTTACTTGGATTAGTATCAAGCATTTTTTCCATAAAATAGTACAAAACAATTGTTCATTAGTAAAAATTTCATCAGAAACATCTGGAAATTGAATATTAATCATTAATTAGTAGAATAGAATTGATAAAAGAAAAAAATTTCAAATTTTGTAAATGCATACTGTTATGGAAGTATGAGAAAGTTTGAAATTGCAAAATTGACAGTTTATCAGATAAGCAATGCTGCTATAAAAATTCTAAATCTAAAAATTTATTCTGAAAATACTAAATCCAATTATGTATGCCAAGATGAACTGAAGAGCACAGTTGGAATAGACCCGTAAATAACTTCACTTACATAAATTTTTTGACTTAGTCAATTTGTTGGACAATACATACAAACTGTATTATAGTGTAGGTACACATTTTATCGATAAATTTTTCAATTTACTTACAGAAATTTTTTTAAAAAAAAAAATTTAAAATATTACCAAATGAATTTCTGCTAAATATTATTGATTAAACCACTTACGTACCTGTAATGAAAAATAATATTTAATTAATAAAATATTTTGATATTAAATATATATTAAATTTTTAAAATTTCAATCAATATTATTGCACCTGTAGTATATTATAAACTTGCAATCCTAAATTTTTTTTGGGATTTTAAATTTGTAATATTATACAGTAATAATCTATTTAATTAAAAAACGTTAGTAATTACTAAAACAACAAACGAAGGTTGCCAATAATTCAAAATTAAGCATAGCCGAATTAGTTCGATAATTATTCCAAATGTCGCAAAAACCTTATTTTCACAAAATTGACAGAAAATTAAAAATTTATGCTGACATTAAAGATTTATACTGACATTTATATTGAAAGACCGAATGACCTTGATCTGAAAATTGCAGTAAAATTTAGATTAAATTTCAGTTTATTCGGCAAATACTACTTTAATTCCGTAGTCAGAGTTCCTATTTTTTGCCGATTTGCTATAAAATGCATATGAATGCTATATATAATTTTGATTTTGTAAATATACCGCGAAAAATTAAATTTTAAACGATGATTTTCCAAAAATTATGATTTATTTCCTTACACGGCTTACTAACCAATAATTAAAAATTTTATATAAATTATAAAAATAGAAAAAAATTTCAGGAAATAATTTTTTTAAAATTTCGTAAACAAAAAATTATTTTCATGACAATATTTTGGGTAATTTAAAAATAAACATGTTTATAACACTTTTAATTGTCGTTTTATAAGGAAATTTGTTCTTGAAAAAGAATATTTTTACAAAAATATAATAAACAATATCTATATGTATATACTGTTATATTGTGCATTATAATAGTAAAAAAAAAATCATCATAAAGCATTAACTCAAAAATTAGTTTACCCTGACCCCATGTCACACATTTACCAGTTCCATGTCAATATAGCAAAATTACCACTAAAAGAACTTCTTCTTTTTATTTTATGTATAAATATCAGAAATATTCAAGTATAAATTTGAAAAAAAAATACAGATACACACACCAGAACCAGACCTTATTATTCGTGTCCATAATATCAAATTACCTTATTTTCTGGCATTAAGATTCTAGCATAAAATTAACATAAAAAAAAAAAATTCTTTTCAAAATATAATCAAAATTTTTTGTTTACATATTTTGGATCTTGTAAGCAAAAAATATTAAAATTATTGAAAAAAAAAATTTTCTTGCAATAATGTACACAAAATTAACAATAATTTTCTATACAATTAATTACATATGCATTGGGCATACTTAACTTACGTATACTTAGTACGTACAATGCATTCAAACATAATTTTTATGAGATTTTTTTGTTTATTACTTCCTTTTACAACAAAAATGACCCTTGAAAATTATTTTCAAAATTATGCATAGATTTTACATAGGTTCTTAATAAATTTATTCAAGCATTTTATGAAACGGTTTATTGCTGTAAATTTTGAATAGTTTTTGAAAAAAAATACAAATCAAAAGAACTACAATAATGTTATAATGAAAACAAGAACAACAAATTAAAAAAAAAGAATCCTTTAAAAAAAAATGCAATTAAAAAGAAATTGAAAGCTGAAATGCACTTGTAAGGCAAAACAACAATAAAAATCAGAACAAAATAAAAAAATTTTTTCTTATTTTCTTTAAGTATTTTTCCCTGTTCTCTCTTCAATTTATTTTCACCATAGTTTTTTTTTATTTTTGCTTATTTTTCATCATTTTCATCATTTTCCCTAAATACAAAATTTTATTCTTAAAAATAATGAAGAATAAATATTAAAAAATAAGAAGCAACAACACAATGTAAAG